CAGCATTGTTTTGTACTTTTTTTTATGATTTTATGACAAATTTTTCAAATTTTATGACATTTTTTATGACAAGAATTTATTATTTCTTAAGTTATTTAATAAAATAAATGTAATTTTTTAACGGTTTATTATATAAAAATAAATATTTTTTCTCGCATCAAAATAAATATTTCTGCTATAATATTTTTAATATGTGTTACTTTAGTATTTTATTATAATAGGTATCTGAAATATTGGAGGCTCAAACAATGATTAACATGGGTCTCAAAAAAGCAAAAAAAAATAGTATATATACCTATAGGTACTATTTTTTTTGCTTTTTTAGACCCATGTTAATCATTGTTTGAGCCTCCAATATTACAGATTTTTTAAGAGTAGTTATGTAGTTATTGTTAAGGTACTTCGATAATTTCTTATTTCCTTCAGAAATAATATTTCTTGTTATTTTTAACTCTGCTTCCTTACTTGCCAAAATAGTATCAATTTCTTCAAGTCCTTCTTTGTGCCTTCCTTAGTAAAGTAATATAGTATAAAAATAAATTTACCTTTCTCATTATTTATTTCAAATTTAAAATTCATTTCCTAACCTAACTTCTTTTTCCTTCATAGTATGAAGTTCATACGTCAACAACCAAGGCCATATTTAAAACATTTTATTGCGTTTTATTCTACAGGACCGGCTTTAAATTTTATTTTACAAAATTTCTATTTTATAAAAAAGATCAAAGGTGAGAAAATTGTTAAAAAATAATGAAATTTTATGATTTCTATGACAAAATGTGAATTTAATGACATTTTAGGACAATTTAACCAATTTTATGATATTTAAAAATTTTATGACAAACGGGAACCCTGGATATGGTAGGCAGATTCTGTCAATTTTCCCATTCAAGTTCGTACTCCTTCTGCAGACTCCATATAATTTTTCTACTTCCACCTTTAAAACACGCATTTTAGTATAATATTACAATACGCATTGACAAGCTGTGACTTTATAGCGTTTTAGTTACGAGCTGACAATAGTCAAAATACAGAGACATCTTTATAAAGTGAGGTTAGAACCGCCTGACAGATGTTAGATTTTATTTATATATTTATTTGTGAAGAGTATATTATGCAAGGCGGTATGCAATTAGAACTATTATAAACTTCTCTAGACACTCGTTTATTAAACACTCCCTACACCTAATTAAACTCGTGACAAAAATTTCGTTTATCGCGTATTTTTTACCTGTACTTGTACCTACACCAAAAAGATCAAGACGTATTTTTGTAGTAATTTGAACGTTCTAAAAAAGATCTCTTATCATTTTATGATACATTCACTCTTCCAAAACAGTTTAATGTTATATATTATATAATTTGCACCTTTTTTAATGTTGCTTTTTTTATTATTATTAGCTATGACTTGGTATGAAATTAATACAAAATGGAATTTGTATTTTTAATTATTATTTTAGGGTTGGTTTATTGAATACTTTTAATGAACCCCTCTAGCCGTTTTTGTAACCCCAAACTGTGTAGAACACTACACCCATTGTTTTTTATTTATGTACTAATTAAAATAAAAATTAGTTAAAATCGTATTTTTACAAAATATTGTTATTACCCGACACCATTTTGCAAAACAAAAGAACATTTTTAGGATTTATTATAAAACATTTCCTTGCCGATGTCCCATCTTCGCAATAATTTAACGTAAATCTAATGCAATTATGATAAAGCCGCCTCACAACAATGTTTTCATTGTTGTTATTGACCATAAAATGTAATTTGCGCTTTATGTCACGATAAATGACTCTATCCGACTTTATTAAACACATGCTTACCGCATAACAACTAAATTAACAAATCGTCAGCAAACAAAATTCGAATTTTGCTTCAAAACAAAATCACTCTATATTAATTAATCGTTAATATTCTTTTTCTACTGCCACCTTTAAAACGCCCTTTATCGTACATGTTTCCATGACACTAAGTGACCTTTTAAATACACATTGACAAGTTGTGGCTTTATGGCGCTTTAGTCACGGGCTGAAGTTAGCAGCAGGTTTTTAGTAACGGGCTGAAGTTAGTTTTAAGTTAGTTGACAGTTGTCAAATGTCATACAATCGTTAAAATAAAGTGCCTTTCTTGTAAAATAATACTTGTGAAAATTATTTTATTATTTCAATACAAAAATACAAAAGTATTATATAGTTTCTCAACGCCAATATTTGAAAAGTTTATATGAACATTGTACTGCAGTACGAAATTAAAAGGTCATGACCTTTTAATTTCGCCGGCAGTAAACTATAACTTAAATTCGGGCACGGACTCCACTGTAAAGTCCTCATAAAACATTTTCTTTACTTTCACTGTAAAAAACTGTCAATTTTCAAGAAATACATTTCGATTTATAACCTTTATAATTGTGTTTATAAAATGTAAAAATGTGACATTTGACGGTGACACAGTTTCCCCTGTTGTCTCATAGATGGCGCTCTATACAAATTTATGATTTAAATCATTTTAAGATAATAATAAGTATTTGTCGTAGAAAAAGTATAGTATGCACCTGGTTTATAAACTTTTCTATACACTCATTAATTCACTTTGATTTGAACCAATCGGGTTTTAAATTGGGAGAAGGCGAATAAATTAACAACTAAAATGATTATGGTTTATAAAATTTCCAACTTCAACGCATTTTAAAAACCTTTTTGCTTGTTATCAAGTTTTTCTTATATAAGTGTGCATGCAGTAACTTATGTGTATTTTTTTAAATTAATCATAAGTTGGTAAAACATAATCTGTCCTTGACAGATTATGACAGATGATAAAACCTAACCTCAAATAAATATGCCACAACAAAAGTAAAATATACAAAGAAAAAACATCGATAAATCCCAATTACAGTATTTAAATTCAAATTAAATTTTTTTAATGTGCCAATAGCTGTTATTATATACGAGTAATACCTGACGAAACAATATACCGTTCTATTTTTAACGAATTCCAAATAATAAAAATACCTTAATACGTACGTATACTTCACAGCATCTAGCCAAAATTATTTGGACAGGCTTGTTTCTAGGATTTAACAGTTACTTTTAAAAATACATTTTTGATTAATAAAAAGTTGATAACAAAAATATGATCAATATTGTACAAAAAGTACAAAACATTTTGAAAAGTTATTAGTTTACAAGATATGGTTTTTTTTTTATATCAGCACTATAAATCATTTAATTTAAAAATTTCATAACCGAAATTATGGCTGTATTTTTTATCTTTCCTATGTTGCCTTTTTCTTAAAATTCTGTCTGCGTATAAAAAATAGAGTTAATTTTTTTTAAATTAATCGTAATAGGTTATTTACCTTTTTTTTAATTTAAATGTCGAAAATTTTAAAGTAAAGAAACGATTTTTAAACCACTATAAAATAAACATGACGATTGTACCTATTTTTCCTTGAAAAAAGTATTTATCTTTAAGCGTTCTATAAGGCTGTAAAAAAAATGTAGACCAATCAGGTAAAACAAATTACCTCCTAGTCTGTAAAAACTTGTTTGGACCAATGAAAAAAATCCTCTACTGTCAGATATATTTAAGCTCACTTTCTACTTAATAATAATTATTATTTTATGTTTAATATCTTGTTTAACAAATAAAATTTTGCTCAAACTTTGAACTTAGCACTAAAAGACTTGCAAGCAAGCTTCTTAACCTAATGACAAATAACTATTTACTACCTGTTTTATTTATTGAGCCAATTATAGGTTTAGTAACTTTTATTTTAATCAACCGAATTCCCAAATTGTTTACATAGTCAGTTTTTTTTACGTTATTTGGACATTGACAAATATTCTAGCAATTTAAAGCTAAAATCTTTTATTATCTGTGGCTAAAATAATGTAAACGATTGTAAAACCTATAAATAGCATAACCACAATTTAATTTTTCTTTAGTAACATTTGTTTTATCCAAGTAAATCCCTAAATTTTTGATGTTTTGAAGTCTAAATAAAAAAACTGCATAACTGCTTATAATTTTGTTATAAAAATTGTGCTTTTTGAAATCTTATAAACCAATTTTGTATGCCATCTTTTCGTCATATTTTTTTATGTAGAATACCCAGTTCAAAAAGTCAAAAATATTCTTTATGCAAAATTGGTTAAAAGTACTATACTTGGGTGAATATTAAATTGGTGTCGTGCTAGGTAAAAATGAAGTGTTTATAATTAAATATTGCCTAAGGGGGTCACTTGGTCCAGTATGTTAATAGTGTTGAAATTTGATAAATATATGGTAGTTGCTAGGACAAGTTTTGTACAAAAAATACACGTAAATATTGTTTGATTAACTCTAATAAACCTGTTAAATAACTGGCGTATTTTTTAATTAAAAGCAAACTCATGAAGCATTAAAAATTCAACCTAAATTAAGCAAAATACTTTTGTTTCAAAACACTGCTTTTTGAACTAATTTGGTGATGAAATTCGGTTCGTATTGAAAAATAATTAGGAATTCGATAAATAGGTAGTTATTTTAATCAATAAAAGTTAAAATAAGACTAAGGATATTCTAAAACTGACAACTTTCTTATTAACCGACACTATTTAATCACAACCATGTATGGCGATTCTATTTTCTACAATCACGTCTCTGTTTAGGCAAATATTTCCACAAAACTTTCGGAAAACGTTCCTCAAACCCTGATCTAACGCATTTTCAACACGAAAAGTAAAAAAGTAAAATAAACATTGAACAATTTTAAACAATATGTTGACGTGGCGAGGGCCTTACAACTCCCAAAATAATTCCCAAAAATATTATTAAACGACGATTTAACATCCTCGAAACCCTTTCGACTTAACGAACCGCAGTTATAATAATTAATATTTAACATTTAGAGTATAATAGGTTAATAAGTCATCTGAATATGGCGACTTATCTAACTAGATGGCAACAGATTGTATTACTAAAAACTTAACTCCTAATCACAATTAAACACTCACCTGATTTTTGAGAAATTCTTCTATTGCACGTAATGCGGAATCCGTTAATCTCACAAATATTAAGTCTTTGTTTTCACCAAAATTTTGTTGAGAAGATAAACCATACTGAACACCTGGACAGAGGGCCGCCATGACTGTCCTCCATTGGACTGCAATCTCCTCAGCTACCAGCTGACGTTCGAACGCAGGTCGCCAACCGAACAAAAGTTAAACCGAAATTCCCCATCGATTTTTCACATTATTCTTCTCAAAAAAAGCACACACCAATTTTATTTATACTGAACATAATAGAAAAAATTATACTTAGGCAGGATAAAACAATATATTTTGTTATTTTTGGTCAATAAGGCCAAAATTAAATATTTAAAATTAAATAAAGTGACGGACTAAGTGGCGCCATCTGCGTAATTTGTTTTGCAACATTTTAAAAACAAAGTTCATAACCTCAATCTTTAACGTCAAAATATTTAAAATAAGCTGGCTAAATAGTTTTTAATTAAGCTAAAGGCCATCCCCCCTGAAGAAACGGAGACGTTTTTTCAGATCAAAGATGAAAAAATATGTTTATATAAAATGGAGTTTGGTTTAAAATAAAATAACTGTGGTGAGGCTTTTAATGCATATATTTTTGACAAATAAAATAATGTTACAATGGGGACTTGGGGCCCAGTAACAAACACATAATAGCCTATAAAAATGATTTGATGTATTTACATATGTGCGCACTTTCATAGGCTAGGTAATATATAAGTAAATTAAGTATCTATGGTCCATGTTATTATAATAATTAATTTGAAAATGTTTTTACAGCAATATGTAATATTTACAGAGAGTAACCATCCAATCTAAAAATAGGCTTGAATGGTATAACAAGAATACATTACATAATAAAAGGTCCTTAGTTTACAAGGACAATTTTTGTGAATATTTTTAATATTTTACAATTACATATTAACATAATTTTTTACACATATTTAAGTTGTGGTTATACATATCATTACATGTTGGTCATTTTGTGAAAAAAAATATATATAAAATTAAAAAAGACATGTATTTATGTTCCTATAAGTACATTTACAATAAGTTATGAATAGAATATATTCTAGAAAATCTATAATACGTAACTATTCATTTACAGATATTTTTTATCATAACAATTTGTACGATTTAAACAACAGACTTTACCAGCAAATCTTTATAAAATCATTTCATATACATAACATGTAATTCAAAAAGTCTTTTTTTATCATATATGAATATTCAACACGATAATGAAAACAATAAAACCTTTACTTCCCTTTTTACTTAATTCGCTTGTTTATTTATCTTGCCATGTTTTATTATAATCTTAAACCACTTGTTAATGCAGATAGGTAAATAAATATTATTAAGGTGGGATGTTATTAGGCTGCCAGGTAATTAAAATGTATTTAAATTTTAATTAAATAAAAAGGAAAGGAAGTTTTTAAACGACTGGACATTTTAAAGCCGTTTTGAGACACTGCAATACATTTAATAAATAGAGATTTTAAATTTTAGTGAAAAATTTTCAACACTCGACGAAAATTTATGATATTAAATTAATTAGGTACATTTTTAACTACGTTTAATAGTAATAATGATGTTAGCCCATTTTTTTCTGGGAGCACCTAACTGGATATGATTTTGATGAATTTACCTAAATATCTATTTATGTTTTTGTTTTTTAACCAATCAAAGGAACTTTGTTAATTAATTTTTAAATGCAGTTAAATTATACAATAACTTTAAAGGTGACACATTTTTGGACAAGTACTAAATGTAAGATTATTATGTTGTAGATACCTCACAAATTTTATTTAAATATTTATTATTTATCATCTTGTATATCAATGGGTGTAAGAAATACGAAAAAAAATATTTATAGTTATAGAGAAAAAAGGCACACGACTTAAGAGTCAAACCAAATGTGTTAATGCCTTCCAATGGGCTCTAGCATAAAAAATAAAGTCGTTTTTGCACTATTTTGGTTTCCGATTAAACTTTTACACCCGTTTTGAACTATTCAAAGGTAAATTGTTACCCAATAATACTTACATAACCGACTTAAGCCAAATAAAAATTACATATTTATGACTGATTTGTTTTGAAAATTAAATTTATTTTTTTACATTATTTATGGAAGATCATGATTGATACAGATGAATAGAATTTAATTTTTAATTTATTTATCTAATCAGTTCTCGACTTTCCAATCAACTACTTCTTACATCTAAACAGACAATGCACATTGAATGAATTTTTATTCTTTTTTGCTGTTTATTTCAATGAGAAATATACAAAAATCACTTTTGCTATGACTTATGATATTTATATTGTCAATTTATTATGAAAGCGACTGATCCACTGATTAAAATATTTTTTAAATGTAAATAAAATCATATAAAACCATTTTTTTACAAAAGTTCTACAGATATGTTTTGGTGTAAAAAACAAGGACAACTATGGTTACCTACCATATTAAAAAAAATGTTTTTATACATTTTTACATTTAAAATAAGCTTAAGAAAACATGTAATATGTTTAATACAACTGCAATTTATATCAGTGGTTTGATAAATTAACATTTTTTAGTCATACCTACAATGAATCAACAAGCAGTTTTTGAGTCATAAGCTTTTATGTTTTAAGACCACAAATTTCATTCTTTTTTTTAAGTAAAATTTGTTAATGACAACAAAGTTATGAGGATTTAAAATTGTAATTGTTGATTTAAATACATCCGACAACCATGGTAATCTCATTTGTCTTATTTGGTTTGTTTCATTAATAACCGCTATTAGATGGATTATAGTATCTACATTATGACACACAAACAAATGCTCAATAACATTAAAACTGCTTATCAAAAAAAAATTATGTCGTTTTTAGTGTTATTTTTACTGAGAACTTTTACATCCTAAATTTTATAATTCTTGTATAACTAAAAAATGTAGATTGTTTTAAATGATCGGATGATTGAAAAATGTTACAAAAACGATGTCAATATATTTTTATCAGAATCAAAGAACATCTAATACACAGACAGACGACATAAATACAAAACACTGTACTTGAATTATCACAGTGAAGAATGCAATGCAAAGAGTCCACACTTATTTAAGTTTTAGTGAAATGCATGATTAAAGTATACATAAGGCTCCATTTTTAGATATTTAAGTACACCAGCACTGTATAAAGAATATGAACTTTAGTAAACAAAGTTTCCCATCTAAGAAATAACATTTTATAACGATGTTTAAAAATATACCTGTCAGTTTAACGCTAATTTTGTCATTTTCTAAAATCATTACAATTGTATATTAATATATGTATTTTGTATAAAGGTCTTATTTTATGACACAAAAAATACTTATATTGTATTATTTTTAGAAAATAAGACAAAATTGACATTAAACTGACAGATACATAACCTCAATAATTTGACAACATTCCTAATTGAAATGTCCCATTACTTTGATGTGTGATACTTTTATTATTATTATTATTATTATTATTACTATAGGGTCTTTCCATCTCAAATCAACCAGGCAAAAAGGAGTAGATCATTATTTTTTAACAAATTTTTTTTACAGTTTCTCTACCGAAATCGATGAGACCCGTATTTTTTCTTTTCTTTTTTTTAATTTGTTTTGTTCACCCACGGGAAATTTTTAAAAAATAGACAGAAACATCGTTTTTTCTAAAAAAAGCAAAAAAAAATTGAGGTCAACATTTTCACATTGCCACATTTTTTTTACTTCATATTTTTTTCGTTTGAAGTTGATAAAATGAACAACTTTCACCAAAATTCCCAAGTTGGCTAAATTCGTAAACTCGTGGTTTAACGCAAAAATTTGTTATTTTATCTAGGGTCATGAAACTGGGGTGACCTTTATAAGGTGTAATTTAGAACTTTTTGACATATTAAACATATTTTTGTCACTTCTGGTTTCACCGGAAATGCTCGTAAGTAAGTAAATTAAATTATTAAAGATTCATACCTAATAGTAATTAATCGAATGCACAAAAAACGCGATTTCGAAGAAATGTAGAACACAAACATATCCGAAAAATGTTGGTCGGTTAACAGATATGAGTGAGGCAGTCGCGAAACTCTTTTTGACTGAGGCTCTATTAGGAAAGGAAATAAGTATTAAGCCTAAAGGGTCCAGAAACTAATGCGCAGGTTAATTATATTTAGAAATAAATTTTTATTTTATTTCATATTTCCTTTTTTTATTTATTGCAAGATTCCCTACAATGGCCACACTATGGGGTTAGATATAACTTTTTATAATCGTTGATTTTATTTAGTAGTTTTAAAACCAAAACCAAATGTTAAGCAATTACTTACACCCCTTTGATTCTAACCACCTCAATTATTATTATTATTTTATTTTATAAAAAGTTTTAGCGGATGTTGTCGTAGAAAAATAAAATGTTAATATTCACTTACCAGCAAAACAAATCAACGAACTGTCAAATCTATTACTTTTTTTAAACACATGCTTTAAAGCATTCTTAATTTAAAACCTATTAAACATTTAAATTTAATTAAGAGTTTGAAAGCGATATTATTAAAAAAATTGGTATCAAATTTAAAAAAAGTGGATTTCTTTTATGACCAACGAACCACCCTCTTTTATTGAAAAAAAAGTTTTGGCATAGTATGGTTTTTCAATTTTTGAACGCTCCTAAAACCAGCATTGCAAAAAGAATAAAATTGTATTTTTTTCAGACTACCAGCCAATTCAAGGCAAAAATTGACAAATGACATATGTATTCAGAATTTTATTTTGAATCGAAATATGTAAAAATGCATAGGGTGCATAAGTGACAAAAATATGTTAAATATGTCAAAAAGTTCTAAATTACACTTTATAAAGGTCACCCCAGTTCCATGACACTAGATAAAATACCAAATTTTTGCGGTGAACCACGAATTTACTGGAATGTGGCATTTTTATTAAAAAAATAATAATTCCGAAACGACGAATTTATCCATTTGGTGAAAGTTGTTGTTATTTTCAACTTCAAAACAAAAAAATATGAAGTAACAAAATTTTGAATTTCAATTTTTTTTGCCTTTTTTACAAAAAACAATTTAAAAAAAAATTTAGTGAATTCACTTTTTTGTATTAATTTCATTCCAACAATGTCAATTTTTTTAAATATATAATATAATATACATATATGGGTCATTTCACCAAATAAAATTTGTTTGGGGTGTGAACCAGGCGGATTTTTTTAAAGTTTTGTGATGTTATTCTCTACATCAAAACAATGACTCACCGAAAATTTGAGCTCTTAATATTAAGTACTTTTGTAGTAGTAATGATTTTTCGAATTTTGACAATACTTTTTTTTAAATTTAAATCTTCAGTAATGTTGATAATAACTCCACAAAATTAAAAAAAAAAATGGAGGGGTCACACAAAACTATTAGTTGGAATGACCCATATAAAGAAAATGAAAATTTAATAATAATAATTATTATTATTATATGCCTAACAACGTGAATAATGAACTCATTATTCACGGTGTTAGGCATCAGTGATTGGCCGATTTCAATATTCACTATGATTTGAACCAATTTGATTTTAAACTGGGAGAAGGCAAAAAGTGAGGTTATCCATGTGTCAGATTTTTTAATTTATTTTTGAAAATCATTTAATAAAGTATAGTATTACACTCGAGAATATGCGCATTATTTACTCGGATGATTTAAGTTTCTTGTCTGTCAAATTTTATTAAAAAAATTCAAGTATTACAGGTTTTATACCATTTTAAATTTTCATTATTTCTTTTACTAAATTGAAAAAAAAATAGAAATGGTATAAAATCTGTAATACTAATTTATTTTAATAAAATTTGAAATTTGTCGATAAACTTCAGTGAATTAAATTCCACCACCTCATCCTTGTGAATAATATCCTGCATTATCTCTCGTGTAATAATATACTATTTTAGTTGAGAAACTTTGTATACAGTTTTCTTTTTTCATAAACAACTTCATTATTGTGCAAAGAATAAAGAGATTAAATTAACGATCAAGCATGTTGGAACACGAATCGCAATTTGGAATCCCCACGCATAAAAAAATATCTATAATATTTATTACTTAATTTCCTTATACTAATTGAATCACATTTTAAGTACAAATATATGAGGAAAATGCGAATCTGACACATTATTGCGCATTATTTTACATTATTTATCGAAAATCGTGTGTGTAGACTTTTTACAGCAGACCCGTAAGTACACTTTTGTAGATCATACGTTTTATTTTAGACGTCAAATGGGTTGGAACTAAAAGTATAGAATTTAATTTAAAAAAACATTGTCTTTCTTTCTGGCAATTTTTGTAAAATTATTTTTTAAAGAAATATTGCATTTTTTGGGACAACTTAAACTTTGATGGCCAGAGAATCAATTTTTAAAATAAAAAACAGGGTCTTTTAAACTTTACTTCCGGGCCTACCGTGGACATGTGTGTAAATTTAGTGTGTTTGTTATCATTCATATTTTGGGTGAGGAGGCACGTTATATATTATTACACGATGCATAATTTTTTTTACGTCATCAGTCAATAAGGACGGTCCATTCAACAATTATTTTATACACTGCTTGTAATGAAAATATGAACACAGCTGTTTATTCGTAGTGACACTTATTAGGTAAATTTATGTGAGTTCGACGGGATAGATGATGAAAGCATTTTATTGATTTGGAAGGGGATTTTCCTGTCTAATGTCCGACTTTAGTTTGACGAATTCCTTCGCCACCTCGTCGTTTGTGCGTTGCGATAATATGCGGAGTATCGTCCAGCCCGTCTCGTCCATTTGGATGCGTTTTCCTAATGATAACCAGCATGCACATGAACCCTGGAAAAGGGACAGAAGTTTTTATTTTTATTGGGAGTTCAGGAAATTGTCTTATGCTCGGTTTTTTATTTTGATAAAAAAAATTGAGGATGATCTTTTAGGTATTAATTTTTGGATTCTTTACTTTTAATCGGCACCCTTTAGAAATCTGAAATCGTGTCAATTTCTTACTCTCTTATAGTGGGCCAGAACTTTTTTTCTGTGACAAATATTGAAATGATTTTAATTTTGTTTTACTGTTCAGTAAGCGTGTTTTCGATATAAATTATTATTATCCAATTAGTTAATCTCATAAAAGACTAAACCACTAAAGATTCATGATAATTTGCCAGTTTTTGTGATTTTTGTCTGGCTCCTGTGCCTATTCTACTAAATCTAGAAAGTTATTTTTTTTCAGGTATCAAGTACTTATACAATAGAAAACGTAACTATTATTTTAAGTTTCTAGGCTATCATTTTTTTATTAAAAAAATTATTTAAACTTGATAATTCTTAAAATTAGTCAATTTTGCCCTCAGAAATCATTATGTTGAGGAAAAAATCAAAATCTGAAACTTTCAGGAAATGTAGTCCCCACCTTCATCTTTTTAGTCCAGTTAGTCTTGTTTTGTTATTTTTATTCCTTTAAAAGATATATTAATTTTTTTAATGCCCGTTTAGTAGCAATATTGTTAGTTTTATTTATAATTCAAAATTTAGATGGCTTTCATGTTTGGTGAAGAAGTGTCAGAACTGTCAAAAATATTTCATAAATATTATTTGCTCGTATTTCTTTGGTAAATTTTGTATATAACAAAATATGTCACATTATGTTATATACAAAACTTGTTAAATCATCAAAGGAATACCACAAATAATATTTATGAAATATTTTTGACAGTTCCGACATTTCTCTACCAAACATGAATTGACCAAGTCAAAGCCATCTAAATTTGAAATTATAAATAAAACTAACAATATTGTAAATATTAAAATCCCACTGCTAAAGTGGATTATACAATTAAACGTAAAACTAACAATATCGCTTCTTAACTGCATTAAAAAAAATTATTATATCTTTTACATGGATAAAAATAACAAAACAAGACTAACTAGACTAAAAAGATGAAGGTGAAGACTACATTTCCTGAAAGTTTCAGATTTTTATTTTTTCCTCAACATAATGATTTCTGAGGGCAAAATTGGCTAATTTTGAAAATTATCAAGTTTCAATAATTTTTTTAACAAAGAAAATGATAGTCTAGAAACCTAAAATAATAGTTACGTTTTCTATTGTATAAGTACTTGATACCTGAAAAAAAGCAACTTTCTAGATTTAGTAGAATAGGCACAGGAGCCAGACAAAAATCACAAAAATTGGCAAATTATTACAAATCTTTAGTGGTTTACCATTCTTTTATGAGATGAACTAATTAGATAATAATAATTAATATTGAATACATACTTACTAGGCAGTAAAATAAAATTACAATCATTTCAATAATTGCCACAGAAAAAAAGTTTTAGCCTCTTATAAGAGAGTAAGAAAATGACACGATTTCAGGTTTCTAAAGGGTGCCGATTAAAAATAAAGCAACTAAAAATTAAAACGGCAACGGTTTTTCCTATTATACCTAAAAGATCAACCTCAAATTTTTTCATTAAAATAAAAAATCATGCAGCGCACTTTTAAATTCATTTTTGGTGTTTTCATTTGGATTGACTCTTATAAAATCAAATGTTAAGTTAGTTGCCTAGTTGGAAAAATAGGTTGCCTAGTTTTATTTGAAATAATTGACAACCTGAGTTTTTAATGACAATGTATTTTTGATAAAAACACTTTTTGATGCAAATCAAATCCGATTTGCATCACAAAGGGCATTTTTACATGAAAACATAATATTTATAGTGGTCGTTTTTTTCTTACTTTCTCAACAATGTCCTTAAGTTGCATCACTGCTACACCCACAAGTCGATCCTCTCTTGCAAAGCAATAGTCTTTTACACAGATATGCAATTCAAAATAGTCTAGTTGTTCCTCATTCCCAATTATGCTAAAAAATAAAAAATATATATGTTTAAAATGCACCAAAGGTATGGGTACGTTTTTTAAATGTTCTGATTTTTTTCCAAAATGTTACCTATACTCTAAAGAAGTATCGGGTTTTCGCAACGCGCGCGCCATCTGGTGGACTTACAACAATACATTTAAACCACAGATTATACATAATTTTTAAATAAATAGGTAGTTTTTTTTTACAAAAGAGAGGAATGCAGAAGCCTTACTCGAAAAATTTTGTTCAATTGCACAGCTAAATCGTGCACGTTATTTGTGTTTTACGTTGCAAGGAAAAAATAAAAAAACTTTTTTAGTACTCGATTTCGAATGATTATTCCTTATATCATTGATTAAGAAACTCAACGCTTAAATGCTTATATACAGGGCCGGATTTACGAATTTGCCGCCCATGGGCCCAACGCATCATTACCCTGAATAACGAATGACTCAGCGAATAAGCTAGAGTCGCGCCCCACTCGCCTCGTGTACATCGACTGCCGCCCTTCTACGCAGTGACGCACTACGCAGAATAATAGTGTAGTCTGATATAAAATTATCTAATGTATTAAAATACTTCTCTTCCAACTTTTTATAGTTTTAATTAGTGTATAAATCTGAGTGAAAACAAAAATTCTGCATAAAACGCTCTTGATTTTTTAGCAAAATTTTAAGTGGCCTTCAAAATTTGCCGCCCCTAAAAAATTGCCGCCCTGGGCCCGGGCCCATGTGGCCCATGCCTAAATCCGGCCCTGCTTATATAGTTACGTTAGTGTGTGAATTTTATCAAAGGGATCATGGTGAATTATTGTGTTTTTAATTGTAAATAAAATTCAACAACTAAATCGTTGCATTTTCATGTTTTGCCAAAGGATCCAATTCGGTAAGTACATTTGTTGATGCAGAATTAACTAATGATAACTTTACCTAATATAATTTATATTTAAGTTTGGACATTTTTAAGAAATTAGTAAAAAATAATTTTTGCATAAACATAACTTTAAAATCAATAATTTTTATATTTGAGTTCTCTAAAGAACGCCGACAACTGCAACTACTACAACAAAATATACCTACGAATTCATGGCAACATAATATTATATATAATACATAATATAATGGTATAAAGTTGCGTCGTTTAGCCGCTAGAGCGCTTTAAAGTTACAATTTATGCAAAATATCATTTTTGAGAAAATATTTACAAAATAAAATTATTCTTCATTTAAACATGTAATGGCAGGAAGGATACGCCTATGCTTTTAATTTTAATGTTGAGTGTTTAAAACAATTAAGTGCCTGAAAAATGAGGCTAAATATTCGCTCATGGCTTTTTACTGCTAATGTTATTGTTATTTATTTATTATATTATTTATTCTTTAAATCCCTCTAGTGGCTAAATCAAGCAACTCTTTATATAGGTAAATTGGGTTAAATGACTTAAATAGACCAAGATTATAGAATTTTCTTTTTCTGTTCAAGTATATTTTATTTAAGTATTTTTTTTTTTAATTTAATTATTTTTTTAATTAGTTTAATAAAATATACTTGAACAGCAAAAAACAGAATAAAATAAATAATAATAAAAATAATAGGTACCTGAAAAATATTAATATAAAAATACTTATATTTTTGATAAATTTTAATATTAATTTAAATTTGTCAAAACAGCCAAATTAAAATTAAATAGTAAAAATGTTCATGTTCAAACCATAGACTATTAAAAGAATAGATATTTAATAACCATTTTTGTGTATTTTATCTTTTTGCTTGGAAAGGATTTTAAAACTTCGGTTTCAACATTAAAATACAATGGTGGTTCTGCATTTTGTTGCAAAAGTGTCCAGAAAGAGACTGAAATTGCCTTTGACAGGTAAAACTATATATTTTAATGGAAACTCAAAATTCGCTTTTTAAAATTATATATCTATTTATTTTAACCAGTAACTGTTAAACCAGTTCCTAATTAAATTATGCATGAAACGTTTTACAGCTTGGTTCATACTTTCCAGCATTTCCACTCATTATCTAAAGTTAAAACAACTTTTTTAATTTATACAATATTTTAAAGAAAAAATTGTATGGAATTTTAGATTTATGCGAAGTGATTTTTCTTTAAATCCCAATTACAAACTCTTAAAATCATGCCAATTTGTACTTACAAATGGAATGTATCATTAAATTTGGGCGACCAATGATTCGATTTTGACTTGGTTGCATGTTTCCTCTTTTTATCAGATAAATGAGGACCAATCAAATTGATTTCTACGAACGGCCTAAACATTCCCGACACCACGTTCCATTTAAGATCGTTTGCTGCCACAACTAAAATAGAAAAAAATCGTAAAACATTGTTATTAAAAATGTAAGTATGTTTTACCTTTGGTTGTAACTTTGTGTTCTCCAGTTCCCGGATGAGTGAATAAGTCAACTTGAATGGACACTTCTCCCACACTTCCTTCCTGTCCATCCACCATATCTGTAATTTTATATTATTTTAGCAAAAAATTTACACATTTTTTTATTTAAAATTGAAAAATACTTTTAGCGTTGAAAAAAATTCACTCTTTACATGCTTTCAGAAAATCTTTTTATTTTATCATGCATTTTTTACAGGTTTTTTCTGTATTAGTATTTGTTGTGCTCTAAAAGCTTGTTGAGAGTTTCTCTAATAATAAATACAATGTAAACCTTACGGTATGCACAAAGGATAGTTAAGATTGTTTGCAACGTTGCTATAATTTTAGTTATCCTTTCTGCATAATACATTTTGTCTCTATTTAGCTCAATCTATATTTTAGCTTATTATCATGCTTTATAAAATAATTAACATTTAATACAATAACATTTTTATGTATCAAAACCAAAAAAAGTTTCATTAAACATTTTTTTAAATAACTAGGGTTATTTTGACCTTAATTAACTTATTAAAAATCTCTAAAAGTAGCGTGTTTTTAAGCAAGCGTGTTTAAAAATAACTAAATTAGTTTATTTAACAGCTCAAATAAATTTTTAACTAAAGGTCAAAGTAATATCCCTGTAATGAAATATATGATGAACTTTGGTTCTTACCCTCTTATACTTGTTTGCATTTTTGTACAAATTTATTGAAATATTTATTTAAATTAACTATTCTACCAGCAGTAACTATGCTATAAATTGTTTCTGTGCTCAGATAAAATTTTAAGTTTATGATATCATTTATTTCTATCTAGAAAGATCATATACCTATAATAAAAAGCTTCCTGAAAACAAAATGGCATAATATTATGACTTTTGGTTTTTTATACTCTCAAATAAAAATATTTGACAAAAGTATAAAAACTTCGATAAAAACCAAGACATTTAAAAATTTGGATAATGTTTTAAAACGTCCTGAAAAATTTATTTTAGAAATTTAAAAAATAAATTATTTTAAAGTTAATTTATCATTAATAAAAAATGTTACTTCTTTGATACGTATATAATTCAGAGTAAACAAATTTTAAAAAATATATAGTACCCATAGGTATAGATTATAAACTAATCACTAATTATTTAAATATATTAATTTTTTTAAAAGTACAAAATTTAAATATAATTTACAAATTTCTAGTTTCACACCGTGAAAAAATAGGATTGAAAAAATCAAAAAATAAAAATGTCCGAGAAAAAAAACCAAAATAAAAACTGCAACATTTAAATAGTGACATCTGAGCACAGATTTATTGCATCTAATTTTCGAAAAAATACTATGGTCAATCTATTTTAAGTAGGCCACAATTTGTAAAACATCTAGATCCAAATCCGCCATTTTAAAATATTAACGAAAAAATATAAAATACTCTAAAATAGCAAATGATCACTTTAAATCGACAGCCCAGCTGCTCTATATAATAAATAAGTACGTAAAATCGCTTGAGTGCAGTAAGGCAATAGAAAAGAAAGTATACCTGTCCGCCATTTTTTATCCATTCAAAAATGTCATAAAACCAGAGATTATGATAATGTAACCTTAATAGTAGATCCCTTTAGTATAAAGTGACCCAATTCGGTCAAAAAATAGGTGGACATTTTGTATGAAATTACCTTAATTACAAAATTTATTCAATGATACAATGCAAATTGTAAATTTTACGTTACTTAATTATTATTGATTATGTCATTTTTGTAATTAAGGTTAATTTACACAAAATGTTTTGATTTTTTGACATAATCTGGTCACTTTACTTTAGTACCTTAGTCATAGTAATTTAAATCATTGATTACCCTGTTGTAAATGACCGATTAATTCCTGTAGAAACCAATTGAAGTATTGGTTGGTATCAATGGGTCTGAATTGGACTTACTGGATTTAATTGGGCGCGATATAAAACAGAAATTGGTTTTTACTGGTATTTTCCATGATGGAAAATACCAGTTAGGATTCTAATGGTTTTTATTGGTTTCGATTGGATAAAGCTACCTATAGGTAATTTCCAATTGAATTCAATTGGGCATTCCCAGTGTAAGATTCGAAAAATCTGCTAATTGGTTATTCCCAATACAATACAAATATCGCAAGAGGGCTCTCGTGTAGCTGCGCAAAATCAACGAGGTTGAGACGCCATCATAAAGAAAAAACGTCTTTGGACGCCATTTATTAGCGGTTTATTTTATTAGTCGATTTCAGTGTTAAGTGCCTAGTGTTAGTAGTCTACTTGTATATTAAAAAAATGTTTATATGTGTAACATTACATTTCAGTGTTAAGTGCCTAGTGTTAGTAGTCTACTTATATATTAAAAAAATGTTTATATGTGTAACATTACATTGTGTAAGATTTAGGGATTTAGGCGATAGTAAGTTATATGTATTAATACATACATATATCACAAAAAAAATAATAAATAAATAAAATTACTTAGTAACAATAAATTTTTTGTCTCTTCTGTAAAAAATGAATTCTGGTTTTTACCCGGTTATCCTTCTGGGATCTAAAATTATTTTTGAATGAAAAATAAACTGGTAGGTATTTTCTAATCCAAATTTTAAAAAATTAATTGGTTTAAATTGGTTGGAATGGGTTTGGTGCTATGAATTACCAATTCATTCCATGTGCATTTCTATTGGATTTAGCCAATAGAGACAAGCGTAGGCATGGATTGGTATTTTCCAATTCAAGCCGCTGACTTCATTGGAAATTACCAATAGGAATTCAACTGGAATGAATTGGTGATTCATAGCGCCAAAACACATTTCAAACCAATTCAAACCAATTGCTTATTTTTTATTGGATTCTATTGGTATTTCCCAATTCAAGCCGCTGACTTCATTGGAAAATACCAATAGGAATTCAACTGGAATGAATTGGTGATTCATAGCGCCAAAACACATTTCAAACCATTTAAAACCAATTCAAACCAATTACTTATTTTTTATTGGTTTCTATTGGTCATTTACAATAGGGTAACGCTTAAATTGTTGCCAAAAACACTCCTTTAAAATGTTCTTGATTGTTGCAATGGCTAAGGTCACTACTACGTTAATTAATTACCGAGAAATTATTTATTGTAATACTTTAATTTTTTGCAAGATGCGTCATATTTTTTCTTAATTTCTGAAATATTGAAGTAAACGTTTGTTTCTAAGGCAAACTTTTTAACCTGGTTTTCCAAAAATGTAGTCAAAATTTTCGTATTTTCTATTGTTGTATTTTCTATTGTTATTGTTGCATAAGCATCGCATTTGCCAAAAAACTTTTTTGTCATGTTTAAACACCAGCAAATGTTTAAAACTTTTATATGTTGTAGGTAAAGATTGTATACCACTACTTTCCGCCTAGAAGCTGAGAAAAAAAGTATTGAACTTTCATGTGACTAATAACTGGTGACACATGTCAAATGATGATTCAGGTGACAGATGTAAAAAATGACAGGTGATATGTGTCAATAATAAGCTATAACAAATGTCAAAATAAGCCATATGAAACGAAAATACGAAACAAAATAAGCTGATATTTGTTATTTGTCATTTTTGAAAATTTCGTAGATAATAGTTATTTTTGATGTGTTAAGTAAAGAGTTTCATTTTATTTTGGGAGAAAGAGCGTAGAACAAAATAAAAACACTTTTAACACTTAGTCATAAATAACTATTTTTTTGAAATGTTACCTAAATTGTTAATAATGACAGATATCAGTTTATTTTGTTTTCTATTTTCGTTTCTTATGGCTCATTTTTGACATCTGTTATAGATTATTTTTACAACATATAAAAATTTTTTTTTTAATTCAAATATCATGCAAAAACAATAAAATACGATGCGAAAAGCAAAAAATGTTTTTATTGGTCCATTTGATTTGGCGGGAAAAGTATTCGCAAGATTTAAAATCTAGGGGGCGAAAATCTTGAGATTGATCCAATATTTTGCGAAAATCGCACTAATTTAGGATGATGGGCATGCGTTTCGCATGCAAATTAATGCAATTTCTTATCATACCATTTATGTTTATTTCTTTTGTATCGTAGTGTTTGTATTGTTGAGATTTATTCGAATTTTTTAAATAAATGTTAAGAGATTTTTTTGTTTTTTATAATGGACAAAGAGTTTTTTGAGGTACATTAATTTCTTATTTTAGCATTTATAGTGGTTAAAACGTGTTGGCCACTTATACTTGGAACTGTAAAGTGGAGGTATAGTGGCCAAAACTTAATCATAACTTTACTAATCTTTACTTTCTTTCCCCGTCTCTTTCCAGCATATTATTTATCTTATTATCTTTGCTTTTTCTGACTGGATATTAAACTAACACTGAATTATAATATTGTAAGAGTACAACTTGCAAATAATAACTAGAATTAAAATAATCCGAAGACATAAAATTAATACGAATTAAATTTTACTGTCGAACATGGGTATCATAGCTTGAAATATATGCTCGCCCTGTTGAAATATGTGGGAATAAAAAAATCTGTAAACTTAGCGGATATGAAAATTATTTATCTAGAGGCTTGAAATATTTTTTAATATTTCTGGTCACCTGAAGCAATAAATATGTATTAACGTGTTAAATTTGGTGCGGCAATAACCAGAATTATTGTGTTTAAAACTACACATTTATTTCCCTACAATGGCGATTATTTGTAAACATGTCTGCTTTTGAAGAAGGGAACTTTAAAGTGGTAATTTTAAACGAAACGTGGAAATCACTTAAGCATGTAGCAAGAACGTGGCAATCACCACCGCAATTATATAATCAAGTTTTGCCACATTCAAGGTTTGGGAAAAGTTCCGAAAACGGTGCCAAAACTTCAAAGTAATACTTAAGTGATGTGATTTGGTTATCTACAGTTAATATTCATAATCCACTCTAAAGTTTAGACAACTTTAAGGTGGTGTCAAAAGTGGTCATAACATTTCGGATACCAGACTAATACACCAAAAAGTTATAAAACTATAAAGTATGTATATTCTGCTGGTGCAAATCACATGATTACAACTATGCTAATATAATATGGAGATATTTTAACTGTATCGTGGTAGATTTAGTTATTTAATCGTTATTGCCACTTATTTAAAGTGGTGATATCAGTTTTCGTCACTATAATGCTACTTGGGTGAAACCGACTAAACTTTTACTTAATTAAGAAACTTCTCGGTAATTAATTATTCGTGAAACCTTCAAAACTAAGATTTTTTGTTATCCTAGCCTACACAAAAGTTAAGGAAAATCGAAGTAGGTGTGTTTCTGACATCTGACATAAAATGACATTTTCGACCCTGATAAAAACGGCAAAAGGGTAGCCATCTCTTTTTAGAGCTTTAATAATAATAAGGCTTGATAAAAACTAGCAGAAAAACGTAATTTTGCGCCTTGCATTTTGATAAACTCTCTACCTGGCCGACTTTCTCTTCGCTTTTTAGCTTTCAACGGTTCTTCCAGTGCCTCTAACCCAGTCTCAGTTTCGTCTCGATCTATCGATATTTGTCTCTGCATCATTGTCTCTTTATTGTTTAGCGGCACTTTACAACAAGATTCACATAAATATCAAAAGTGTTTGACATAAGTGTCTAAAGCATAGACTTGTCCATGCCCTTAAAGCCTGGACTTGTCTATGATCTAAAGTGAAGTCCTTTTGTATGAAAGAACTCTATTCTAGTATCCCAAATTGATCTTCTAGGATACTTTTTGGGAGTTTTATGAAACATTTTAGTAAGGTTTCAGATTTTTTGTCATTGACTTATTATAAAAATTAGAATTTTAAAAATTTATTTATGCCTTTTAAAATTAAACAGAAAAATTGAAACCTTGTAAAATATATCATAACCTCTTAAAGTAAAATACTGACGACAAAAATTTACCTTCATTGACTTGCGTGGTGACGAAAGTCTTGATCAAAGTATCCGTTGTCTGCGTGTACAACGACAACGCATATCGCAGACTCTGCAGTTCCGCGCTTTTATCCAAGAAGGCCTTTTTCAGACCGTTTCCTCCCGCGTGGAAGTACTGCTTGATGGTGTCCAAGGCGACATCCAGCACAGCGCATTGTTTTGGCGACAAGTTTTTCTCCACCTCCTTGGAAATATCCATTACGCCGCTCAAAGCGTTTTTGACGTCTTGCTTTCCAGTCATGTGGTTTTTGAAGAGACGCGACATGTCTTCTATCTTTGTGTTGGCCGCCAAGTTCTTAGCGTTGTCTGTAAGACTCTTGAACATCATCTAGAAAAATAAACGTTTAGTTTTTTAAATTTTTAATAAAGGGTATTGGAGTTATCAACTACCCTGATAGCACACTTTATTCTAAGTATGTTTTTTAAACCTTCCAGAGGGAATATTCTTAGGATCATGCTATATTTCTTCTAGGGATGTTCTAAGAATGTTTTTAAACTTTCTAGTAAGAATATTCTCAGGATCATGCTATATTTCTTCGAAAGAACATGCTTAAAAGAAATGTAGCATGATCCTAAGAATATTCTTACTGGCGTTTAGGCAGGTTCTTAGAAGGTGCAAAGTTTTAGTGGTAAAAATTAGTCTACTCTAAAGTTTAGTGGTCGTATATTTGAAACCGTGTATAAGCTTACTCTGTCTTGCCTAAGCATGCTTTCTCTGTCTTGCCTGCTCTGCTCGCGCCGTCAGTGGGCGAGGCGTATGCTATACGGGGTTTTTAAGGACATTCCAGGTAGAGCGTATTTTTCGTTCTTGCGTTCGAAAATTTGTTTCCAGTTATAATATTATAATATATATTATTATACAGGGTTCCCCATAATAGGCTACCTATTTTAACATTTGAATTAAAAAATTTTTAGTTAACAAAACAAACTTTTTATTATACTAAATTACAGCTAACTCTTTGGGATTTATGATAACTTATCAATATTTGGTTAATTTAATTCCAACTTTTAAAAATCACGTTTTCTAAATGACCTCCACCAACTTCAACACATTTTTCAATATTAGATAAAAAGTGGTTAAGTCGTAAACGCAATTCTAACTCGTTCAATATTTTCTGGTGTACGAACTGTTCTTCAAATTTTGTACAGAACCATTTTCACGCCAATGACGAACCCATAACTTAACAGTTTTACGATTTGGCGCGTAACCCCTATTGTTGTTATTAAACTGACGCCGGAATTCACGCCTAACTTCTTCTATCGAATTGCTTCTTATGTAAGTTTCTACACAAAACCCACGTTGTTGGACTGAGTAATCCATGAAAGTTCAAACGGATGTTTAAATAATGTCTCAAAGCTTATTAAGTTATCTCGTAGGGAATTTATTAATAAAATAAAATGAGTAGTCTATTATGGAGAACCCTGTATATAATTATTATTATTATATATAATTATTAATATTATATATAATATATATTTATATAATTATTATATTATTCTAGCGGGCATTTCAGGACTCTTGGATAAAACTTTATATTTCAAAAACAGTTGAAGTTAGCGACTTCATTTTTTTTTAAACTGTCAATGTTTTGACTACATTTGACTCGATATATATGTATAGAAATTTTCAATAATTCACATAGCTCGCCGTAGGGTAAAATTTTTGATGCACGATTTTGATAATTCTATATTAAAATTTTTTTTTTCAAAATCTTTAGAAATTTTTAAAATTTCTGAATTACTATTAGAAGTGCTCACATTTCAAGTATAAGTCTGCAAAAAATCAGAATTTTAGATTGTATTCTAGAATTAATACAACGGTTAATGTTACGAATCACCCACACTCATAGTGGAATACAATCGCTTCTCCGTTTGGAATTAAAATCTTGCATAAAAATTCATATTTCAACAACCGTTAAAGTTAGCAAATTATTTTTTTTAATAACTTTATCAAGGTTTTAACTACATTTGACTCGATATATATGTATAGAAATTTTCAATAATTCGCATAGCTCGCCGCAGGGTAAAGTTTTTGATACACGATTTTAATAATTCTATAATGCAAAATTTTTTTTTTCAAAATATTTAATTAACCGTTGTATTAATTCTAGAATACAATATAAAATTCTGATTTTTTGCAGATTTATACTTGAAATGTGAGCGCTTCTAATAGCAATTCAGAAATTTTAAAAATTTCTAAATATTTTGAAAAAAAAATTTTGCATTATAGAATTATTAAAATAGTGCATCAAAAACTGCGGGGAGCTATGTGAATTATTGAAAATTTCTATACATATATATCGAGTCAAATGTAAAGGGTGGGCCATCTATAAGTTGAATTTTAAACTACGTGCTATTAATGAAGCTTTCAACTTAAGCGCCATGAATTGTTGATAGTGGTTTAGTTTTAACCTTCCGATTACAAAATATGCACCAAATAAATTTGGATCAACGTTTCGAAATACTCAAAACTTACTTTGAATGTAACTGTGATCGCAGAGACAGCAAGAAAATTGCGTTTGGAAGTAATGAGGCGCCGTCAAACCAAAGTATTACAAATTTGATCAAAAAATTGCGCAGAAATGGAATGCTGGTGGACATAAAACATGTTTCGCATGCTCGTCCTAGACGTACACCTGAAGCAATCGCTGCTGTGGCCGAAAATGTACGCATGAACGCGTCAACATCAACTCGGCGCAGATGTCAACAACTCGGCCTTTCCCGTACCACTCTGAGGGTGATTCTGCACAAAGACCTCGGTATGTTTGCGTACAAAGTCCAGCTTGTTCAGGAGTTAAAGCAAGTTGACCATCCACAACGTTTTCGCTTTGCTGAGTGGGCTTTAAACCAGTTGAACGATGACCCAAATTTTGCAAGAAAAATCATCTTTTCGGATAAGGCGCATTTTTACCTCGGAGGTTATGTCAACAAGCAAAACTGTAGGATTTGGGCCACGGAAAATCCACACGTCGCCGTAACAAAGCCTATTCACCATTTAAAACAAAACATTCAAGCTCAAATTGCCTAAATAGTGCAGCAAACTTTTGACAAAGTGCTCGAAAATTGGTGTTCCAGGATGGGCTACTGCGGAGCCAGCTGAGGTGGCCACTTAAATAAAATCATTTTCCATACTTAATCGGAAGAAACATTGTATCAAATAAAGCAAAATTCGTTGAAAAAAAATCAGTTTTTCTTGTTCTCATTGCTATTTTATAATTCAACATAAACATGGCCCACCCTTTAGTTAAAACATTGATAAAGTTATTAAAAAAAAATAATTTGCTAACTTTAACGGTTGTTGAAATATGAATTTTTATGCAAGATTTTAATTCCAAACGAAGAAGCGATTGTATTCCACTATGAGTGTGGGTGATTCGTAACATTAACCGTTGTATTAATTCTAGAATACAATCTAAAATTCTGATTTTTTGCAGACTTATACTTGAAATGTGAGCGCTTCTAATAGCATTTCGGAAATTTTAAAAATTTCTAAAGATTTTGAAAAAAAAAAATTTAATATAGAATTATCAAAATCGTGCATCAAAAATTTTACCCTGCGGCGAGCTATGTGAATTATTGAACATTTCTATACATATATATCGAGTCAAATGTAGTCAAAACATTGACACAGTTTAAAAAAAAATGAAGTCGCTGACTGAAGTTAACAAAAATACTTTTACTATAGGTATTTTATTTTATGTTAAAAATAAATAATAATTAATTTGTATACCGATTTTTTATTTCTGAATTAACATTTTTATGTATAATAATCCTAACTATCTTCAACTTCAATCTAATCTGACTAATCTCACAAAATTTTCCAATTTTACTTTTTATGAAATAATGTCATAAAACTTATGGTTTAGAGGTCAAATTGTTTATTTAATATTTTTAAATAAATAAATATTAATATGTCGCAAATTTAAGGGGACGACAAATACATTTCACTGTCATAATATGACAGTGAGGCGTATTTGTCTCCTGAAGAATTTTACGAATGTAGAATACAACATATTAGAACGTGGGTATCTGACATATTTCTGAAATATTCTCAAAAGCTTCCTAGAAGCTCCATAAGAAACCTTCTAAGCACATTCCAAAAACATATTCTTAAAATGTTCTTAGGATGCTTTTTAGGAAGGTTTTAAGAAGCTTTTAAGAATCTAATTGCATCATTAAAAGGGTATCTATTGAATGTTTTAAAAGGCCCTAAGAACATTCTTAGCAATAAGGGAAGGTTCTAAGAATATTCCATTATTCCGGGTCATATCTTCTTAGAAGATTCTTAAAATCAAATTTTGCTATCAGGGTAAAGTTTAAATAATTTCCCAAAAGTGTAAAACTTACGGTTTTATCAGTCATAGGTGGCAACACGACAGTCTTTTCCAATATCCTCATAACAATCTTCCACAATTCCTTCAGTAGTCTCTTGAGTACAGTCTTCTCGCAAGATTGAGCATATAAAGACAGAGATCCGTCCAGAAGGTCCATTAGAGGCCTCAAAACCTCGTCAGCCTCAACAGCAACTGCGTTTCTTTGAGCCTGCTGATTGAGCTGACCGGGCTGACCGCCTCCTTTGATGGCTAAAAGCAGATCAGCGAGCTCTTTGACGCTCACTGTTATTCTTGGTTCCAAACTAAAAAAAAGATGATATATAATAATCTAACAAAATAATGGAAAAAGTTCACCAAACTTGAAGGTTCTACGATAATTAATTACCGATAAATGAATTATTGTAGTATTTTAAATTTCTGATGCGTCTTATTTTTTCTTAATTTCTTAAATAAGCTGCACAAATTATTTAAGTGGAAGTTTGTTTCCAAACGTAACTTTTTAAGCTTGAAAACCGTTGATTGGAGACTTTCTTATTCAACGCTTTTAATAATGCTAAATGCTGTTTGAATTTAGACGACTTATTTGTTTGCCGATTTTTACTGAATTGAAATGTTTACACTTTTCGCGTTAATCATTACTAAAATGTGTATTTATTGTATCTAATAGATAGATTTACAGGGACTGCATGAAATTTATTTCTTCATTCGGATTAACACTCTTTATTGGAAAACCGGTAAAAACTCAACCCAGGATTTCCTCTCGAAATACACCCAACAACACATTTTTCGGCTTTATTCTCAAAAACATTCGTTTGTAACTGCTGATTGACAGCTGATTATTAAAAGTTGTAGTTTTGTTACGATGATAACGGCCGAGTGTTGGCGCTACTAGCGATGCTTCTTTAGCGTAATTAATTTCCACCTTCTTAGTAAATGGCATTTTATAGGTTAAATTTGTTGTTTTTGTATCCAAGTATACATTATGAGAACAGACCTGTAATATTTCATGGGCTTGTATAAAAGACCATTGTAAGTTTTACAGGCTTGTAGAAAAGTGTATGAAGGCAGTAAAGTCGTATTTTTTATCACGAATGTGGAAATTATTTGCCGAGGCGAAAGCCGAGGCAAATAACCACGTGAGTGATAAAAATGACTTTAATGCCGAGGTGCATATTAAATTTTATCCGAAATCGCATTTAATAATACTAATAATAAATATTGATGATCAAATCAAATGTCATTTGAATGTAGGAAGTGTCTACGGTTATGACATATTTGCCCGCTGCGGCAATTTTTTAATTTAATTAATAAAATTAACCTATTATTTTTATTAAACAACATTTTATGAAAGGGTTCAATCGACCTCCGCAACGGTGCTTTTCTAAAAATATTATTTAGTTGCTGCTGAGGAGCAGTAGACACATCTTAAAATCTATAATGGGTTGCATACAATACTCGTATTAAATCGGCAGTAAAGTTCTACTTTACTGCCGATTTCTTTTACTTTACTGCCGATTGTTGACTACTTTACTGCCGATTTCGGATAAAAGCAATTTATAAATTTTTTTTGTACTTTTTTGTTTTTGGGTAATAAATCTATTATTATTAAATGTCACATTTGACACATTAATTGAAATTTTAAATTTGGAAAACGTTATCTAAAGGTGGATATAAAAGTTTGTACAGGGTGATACCCTATAATGTCGCCCCCCTTTAATTTTTTTATTTTAAGTGTCCCAAAAAATTAAAAGTGTGGTTATGTAGGTACTAAAAAATACTTTTTTTCTACGTATAAAAAAAAATGGAAAATTGATCAATATACAGGGAAAAGAAAAAGTTTATTTTTTTTTCAATGGATCACCCTATATGTATTTATTTTTCGATTCATGTAAAATTCTAAGCATATTTCATATAACATCCCGGACAACATTCGTGATATTCATTCGAACATCACGTCGTGATTTTCACAAATTTTATTCATACTGATATCATACGGAAGTCACCGCGTGTTAAATGAAAATCATACGAACGTCACGTCGTGATTTTCACAAATTTTATTCATACGGACATCATCCGGATGTCACTGCGTGAGAAATAAAAATCATGTCGTGATTTTTTATGCCATCGGTGTTTGGATATTTATTTTTGCGCCACATTCGTACATTGAGAGAAAAAGAATACCTACATATATATTGAATCAACAGTTTTTGTGGTTAAATAAAAATATTCAATATTTTTTTGGATTTAAATTAATAGTTAATTTACATTCAAGAAAATATTAAATGTATTTAACCGCAAAAACTGTTAATTCAATTATTAACATACTTTTTCTTTCAATGTACGAATGTGGCGCAAAAATAAATATCCAAAGATGTCGGTGCACCGATGGCATAAAAAATCATGCCGTGATTTTTTATGCCAACGGTGTTTTGATAATCATTTTTGCGCCACGTTCGTACACTAAGAGAAAAGTTATGTTGAATCAACAGGTAACAAAGTAGGTTTTAAATTCGCAGTTCGCAGGGCTATTACGCATGCGCAAATTTTGCAAATATCACACCGTGAGTTCTACATGATATCACTGTGATGAAGCATGTGTATGCACTCAGGATATCACGGCTTGATAAAAAAACTCACGTTGTGATATCATCATGAATTCACCAGGAAATCCCGATTGTTGTCCGTGATACAATATACCTAAATTCAACCTTTTCTGAAATATTTAAATTATTTTTAAGATAATAATTTGAAATAGTTTGTCTTCCTCTGCCTGAGTACGCCATTTTTACTTATTTAACAAGACATATTGACATAATGTCACTATAGAGTCATTCCAAATAAAAACACCAAATGGGGTGCGCTGCGTGATTTTTTATTTTGATGAAAAAATTTGAGGATGATCTTTTAGGTGTCAAATATAAAAATCCGTTGCCGTTTTAATTTTTTGTTGCTTTACTTTTATTTGGCACCCCTTAGAAGTCTGAAATAGTGTCAATTTCTTACTCTCTTATAGTGGGCCAGAACTTTTTTTCTGTGACAAATATTGAAATAATTTTAATTTTGTTTTACTGTCCAGTAAGTGTGTTTTCGATATAAATTATTATTATCCAATTAGTTAATCTCATAAAAGAATGGTAAACCACTAAAGATTCATGATAATTTGCCAATTTTTGTGATTTTTGTCTGGCTCCTGTGCCTATTCTACTGAATTTAGAAGGTTCATTTTTTTCAGGTATAAAGTACTTATACAATAGAAAACGTAACTATTATTTTAAGTTTCTAGACTATCAATTTCTTTATTAAAAAAATTATTGAAAATTGATAATTCTCGAAATTAGCCAATTTTGCCCTCAGAAATCATTATGTTGAGGAAAAAATAAAAATCTGAAACTTTCAGGAAATGTAGTCCCCACCTTCATCTTTTCAGTCCAATTAGTCTTGTTTTGTTATTTTTATCCATGTAAAAGATATAATAATTTTTTTAATGCCAGTTAAGAAGCGATATTGTTAGTTTTATTTATATTCTAAAATTTAGATGGCTTTGACTTTGTCAATTCATGTTTGATGGAGAAATGTCAGAACTGCGAAAAATATTTCATAAATATTATTTGTGCGTATTTCTTTGGTAAATTTTGTATATAACATAATATGTCATATGTTATATACAAAACTTTTTAAATCACCAAAGGAATACCACAAATAATAATTATGAAATATTTTTGATAGTTCAGCCATTCCAAGCTACTCGGAATTTTTTGTAGCCTCCGTTACAATAAAAAATTGTGATTAAATGCTACCGTAATTAAATGAAATACCTTTACAATAGTTAATATTGCAAACATGTTTATTATGCTTGTAATAATTAGGCAACGGATTTTCATATTTGACCCCTAAAAGATCATCCTCAAATTTTTTCATCAAAATAAAAAATCATGCAGCGCACTTTTAAATTCATTTTTGGTGTTTTCATTTGGATTGACTCTATAGTAACTTATTTTCAATAAAAATTTTGGTATACTGAAGCTTCATTTATTGATAACATTTCGAATGCGAATATTTCAGAAACGGTTGAGTTTAGGTATATGTTTTGGAATCGAAAAATAAATTCATATATAGGGTGATCCATTGAAAAAAAATAAACTTTTTCTTTTTCCCTGTATATTGATCAATTTTCCATTTTTTTATACGTAGAAAAAAAGTATTTTTTAGTACCTACATAACCACACTTTTAATTTTTTGGGACACTTAAAATAAAAAAGTTAAAGGGGGGCGACATTATAAGGGATCACCCTGTACGTGTCCCTCTTTGCAAATAATCTTTACTAGGCTCACTGGATTATGGAGTTCGCTCCTGCGTCGCTCACCCGACAAACTTCCAGCTCGCCCGTAAAGATTCATTTACAAAGCTTTTTAAGAAATTAAGAAATAAAATGGCTGCAAAAAATTAAAAAGTTACAATAGTTAATTTCTCGGTAATTATAATGGAACTTTCAAAACTAAGATTTAATGTTATATAACATATGTAGATGATAGGCTAGGATATTCTAGCCTATCATCTACAGAAAATTTGAGAATATTAATAATATACAAACCTTGATGCGAATTGGGTAGCTAACTCATCCAGAGAACCGTTTAAGGTTTGTTGCAATTCCTTCAAAATATTTGCAGCATCTTCTTCCAATTTCTCACCACCCATAGATTCAAACATTTTCTCCAACTGTACTCTCAGTTGCTGGATGTTGTTCATCAAAATACAAGCCTAGAAACGCAAATTAAACATCAACGTCATTAAAAGTTACTTACAATATTTACTATTCTTTCTTCCTTGAGATGTTCAGGGAATTCTTTCTTGACTATGTCAGCGTAGGCTATGAGCACTTTGACGATGGTTTTCGCGAAGCGTTTCATGTACCTTTTCCAGATTTCTGGATCTGGGCATTCCAGTTTGGACACCACGTCGAAACATTGCGTTAGCTGCGTAAACACGTCCACCACTGAGTTCGAGAATAGCGCATGTTCGCTGCTTTTTTGGAACTGAAATAATAAATTAATGAAAATATAGGGAAAATGTCAACGATCTTCGAAAAATATACTCTGGTTTCTGTTTAAAACTTTGTGGACCTGGGATGGGAAATCAATAATAAAGACGTCAAAAATCAACTCCAAAAAAGTTTGAATACTAAATTGTGTCTATTAATTAATTTTTAATCACAGAAATTTCCATTACCAAAGTGGTGATAACTTTAAATTAGTTAAGTATATTAAACAGCTACTTTAATTTTTACTTTAAAGTAATTCTAACTTTTAAATAGCAATATTTTGTAACAGAAACTTAATTTTTTCCTTAAATGGTTACTAAAAAGTAATAAACATTTAAGTAAAACTTTGTTGCCCCCAAGAAGACTTTGCAACTTTAACCCTGAACTGGTATTGTTGGGTCAATTTTGACCCCGAGCTTTTTTAAGTGTATATATTTAGGTAACGAAACGCAATACTATTTTGAGACTGCAGGTATTCCTCAAGCGTTCGACGTACTTACCAGTGTAGCATTCATGCCTCAGTTTCGTTTGTGCTTTGCCCGGTATTTAAATAATTAGTTTTCTAGCAACTGCATTGGTTCCTGAAAAGCCCTTGTTAGATTTTTGTTTGGGAATTTATACAATGTTTTTTTAGTTTCTTAGTGTGTTTATGTCATGTTTTTATTAATTTAATATATTTTAATCATGTTTATGACAAAAAAAAAATTATTGTGCTAAAATCGTTGAACGATGTTTTTTTAGGTTCATATTTTATTTTCGTGTTTATGTATTAAAAAATTTGAATAAATTTGAGTTTTTTTAATTTTTAGGTTTTTTTCCTCTAAACTAACAAATTAAAGTATAGTTAGTCAAAAAAACTGTAACCTCCCCTACTTTATTAGGGCTGGGTCAAAATTGACCCAACAATACTAGTTGTGTTGCTTGGAAATCACCATACCAGTTCAGGGTTAAAAAAGGTATTATAAGTAAAAAAAACTTTCAAGTAAATTTAATTTGTAGCAGTTACTTTCGGTTGCTACCTAAAGATTACATTATAATTATTTTTACTTTGTAGTCCCTTTGCAAGTTAAAATCTCGAAACTGGAACATGAGTTAAAAACTACAAAAGTTAAAGTTATTATTTTAGTATTTGGAACGTTTATGGTACTAACCAAAACTACCGTAAAGTAAATTAAGGTGGAAAAAAACTTTATAGTAGCGAAAACTACTTCAAAGGAAAATGCTTAATATCGGCCATTTTTTACTGAACCGTACCACGTGGTAATGTAAATAATAAATTATTTTAATTGTTTGTAAATGGTTGTTTACTTTTTAATAAATAGTAATTTTTTTGGTTATACAGGGTGTCCCACAATTATTGCGACAAAATGAAGGTGTATTATCTAAAGACCCCCAGGAACTCCAGAAAATTGTTTAAAAAATTCTTTCTTCATTATTTAATAAGATACAGGGGAGTCATATTTTCTTTATATAGCAACATTGCCTCATAACAAAGTAATAGTTTAATTCTTAATCATCATGACAACAAACAACAATGTTAGAAAATGCCAAATTTAAATGTCAAAATTTGTTCGCACTAATTATGGGACACCCTGTATATTACCGACTATAGTCGGTATAAATTAATTAAATAAAAAATTAATAATAAATATTAAGATTTCTTTATTTATAAACATTATTAAATAAATAATTTGTTTATACTTAAATATTGATGAAGCGCATTTATTTTACAAAAACTAAATTCATAAGTTCAACAGTAAAATTTAAAGGGTTTATTAATTTACCTGCCTAATTAAACATTATATTGTTATTCTGGAAGTTATAAACTACCAGTACATATTTAATAAACGACGACATTGAAAAGCCAAGTCCGCAGTGGTTCCATTTAAAAAAGGAGGAATAGTATAATCTAATAAAAGTTTGACAGAGATAGTTAATATAGAAGTAAAGACAAATAAATAAAAGTAATTATAACGTTCTAGCAACGATATTGAAACGTTCTAGTAACGTAGCAGCTACGTTCCATAGTAGCAGGGTTTATAGCTAGTTTACCTTTTTGGAACTCAAATTGTTCCCCACTTTAGTCGTAACTTAGTAATGAAAGAGTAATATAAAGAAACCGGCGACTGTCGCAAAACACTTAAAAGTTTCTTCAATAGTCCCATATACGTAACAAATACTTAAATTGTTGCTTGGGAGTACAAAAAGATCTTACCTGATCCTTTTTGTCTCTATTAAAGGCACCATGTAGATATTCCAACGATACGTCGTCGTTCTCGTTTAGCCACTGCATCACGAACGGCTCGAACCATGCCGGGTATTCGGGCACCGCACCTTTATAGGGTGGTACGTCTTTTACGTAGTTCGAGTACAGCCATTTGACTTTGAAGTGCAGGTTCATGTACGCCGACGATTTGCACAGGCGGTGCTGCTCGTGTTCTTCCAGAGCGTATTTCATGTCCACCGCAAAGAGGGACCACATTGTGGCAGCGGATAACTAAAAAAACAAATAATATATATACAGGGTGTCCCAGAAGTCGCGCACCATCTTGAAGGTGGTGATCTTTCAGGATAACTTCCAGGAATCCCAGAAAATAAAAAAATTATATCTTAATTATTTAAAAAGGTATAAGAGCGTAAATAACAGGGACTTGTAACGCGTTTCTTTTACGGTATCGGTTTTTATGCAAGGATCGAAACTATAGTAGCAAAACGAGTAACAAAATCTTGGTAACGATTTTAGCGAAAACAATATTGCTATCGAAGCTGGATTTTAAAACGAAACTAGTAAATAAGTAACAAAACTGTAACAAAACGTTAAGTTTTTAAAAGTTTTAATAAATTGTTTAACACTATGTCAAGACAAAAAATCCTCGTGATCTGTCTAGCAACTGTCAAGTATATTGACATTGTAAAAACAATTCGTGTTGTTTAAATTAATTAATTAATTCTACTCCCACCTTTAAAACGCCCATTATCGTAAGTAATCTTTTAAATGCACATTGAAAAGTTGTGGCTTCATGCGCTTTAGTCACGGGCTAAAGTTAGTTTTAAGTTAGAAAGTGCCTTTCTTGTAAAATAATACTATAGGTATGTGAAAATTATTTTATTATCTTAATACAAAAATACAAAAGTAAATAGTTTCTTGACGCCAATATTTGAAAAGATTATAATATAATGTTATATTATGTTAACTAGATTGAACTGATAAAGCGTTAAAAATGTTGCGTACAGTGCCCATAAAACATTTTCTTCTCTTTTACTGTGAAAAACTGCTTCCATAACGATTGTTAGTCTATTTTAAAAGGATAAATTTTGATTTACACAGAAAAATTTGAGATTTTAACGCCGGTAGATTCCCATTTTTTGTACCTTTAACATTTCCAGTGTAAGAATTTTTAATATTGATAATTGATAATATTTTGCAATTATAGTAATAAAAAAATCAAAGGATAATAGTATATTCTGTAACAAGTTTGGAATACAGCATATTCCGCTCGAGTGAAGAGTTTGTCACACGAGCCGAAGGCGAGTTTGACGGATTCACGAGAGCGGAATATGCAATTCCAAACGTGTTTCAGACTATACTTTTTCTACGTTTCCAAAAAATACCATAGAAAAATAATTTAATTGGAAGAAAGTGAGGTTGGATCGGTCTAAAATTTGTTAGATATTAAAAACAGAGATGTCGCCACGAGTGTTCATTCTGTCATCCGATGATAGAATATTTCATACTTTACGAAATATATGTCATTCCATAGATAAAAGTGATATTAGAACGGTCAAATTCCGTAATAGGAGTAGAAAAAATATTTTCCTGACTTAATCAAATTTTGAAGTTATTTTAATATTTTAAAGTATAATCAATCAATAATAAGTATTGTTAAGTTTAATTAAAATAATAAGGGGCAATGTTAATGGTCAAAATTATGTCAAAAATGTTTATTGGCATGGTTACTTTATTTTCGCTTTATACAAATATTTAATTTAAATAATTTTTTAGATAAGTATTTGTCGTAGAAAACTCGTTTATAAACTTTTCTAGGCACTCGCAAGCTCGCTCGTACCTAAATTAAATTCGTGACGAAACGATACATGTATTTATGTATAAAGTATAGTATGCAACTGGTTTTATAAACTTTTTTAGACATTCGTTTTTACTAAACACTCGCTCGTACAGGTAGGTACATATAATAATAATAACAAAAAAAAATATTTAAGCGAGTTGGCAAAATTAATAATATACCTACTACATTATTATTTTCTTAGAGGTTTAATTACGATTTCACTTCTCGAAAAACGTTACTATAGTTTTGTTTATGTACCAAGAGGTTTCGTTACTCAGGTGGCGTTGCTGGTTTCGTTTCCATACCCGCTGTTTCGGTTCTGCTTAGAATTTCGGTAGTTTTGTTACCCAAAGTTTCGTTACTCTTCTCTTATTTGTTGGAAACGATTTTCAACGTTCCGTTTCTAATTATGTTTTAATCTTTTTATGTTAGTCGGAACGATGACAGCAGAAACAGAGTTTCGTTTCTATACAAGGTTATGGTATTAGAGTTTTTAAACTTAAAAATAATAGGTTTACGTTCATTATATTATTTTAAGTCGTTATGTCTAATGTTTTTATCAATGGTTTTATTATAATGGTTCATCTTAAATATTTTATTTTAAAAAAATTATAATTATAATTTATCCTAAATACATCAAAATATTATAAAATAGTCAACAAAGCTGTTAAAAAGTTTTAAATGTAAAGACCTCATTTTTCAGAAAATCCTTAAAAATCTAAAAGAGTCTTATCTGAAAAAGCAATTCTTTCAGATCTAGTTTATAAACGTGTTGCATACTATACTTTTTAACGAGAAATACTTATTATTATCTAAAAATGATTTGGATTAAATATTTGTATAGAGCGACATCTATAAAAATAATAGAGTAACTCGGGTAAGAATTTCAACTTGGGAATCTGTCAAAATGTCAAATTTTTATGTGTAAATCGAAATGTACCCCTAAAAAATGGACTAACAAGCGTTTTAATATAGAAGCAGTTTTTCACAGTGAAAGTGAAGAGAATATTGTATGGGCACTTCAGGTTGGAGTCTCTACCCAAAATTTTTAATTTTTTACTGCAGGTAGGGTTGGGAAAATTTCACTTTTTGCTTGTACTTGAAATTTCACTTGAAATTTCATGAAATTTCATGAAATTTATTAAATTTAATGAAACTTTCAATAAATTTCAATCACTTTAAGTGTAATATATTAATATTGAAATAAGCCCACTCGGTGACCATGGCAAATTGCCTCTCTTACCTCCTACCCCTCTGTGGGCCCCTGCACCAATAATATAAATAGTAAATACCTATGTTTACCACAAATTTCTTGAGATTTCCTTTTAAAATATTTTTAAAATTACTAAAACTAAAAGAGATATAGCACTTTTTGGTAAGCTAATGAGATTGTGCCACTTTCATTGTTTTATATTTATATATATTTATTATTTTTATATATTTTACTGAAATTTTACGAAAATTAAAGAAACTTCATCAAAATTTTATGAGCCAAAGGCATTTTTTATCCGTTTTCCGATGCAATTATAGCAAAAGTAAAAGGTTAAATTAATCATGACTTTTAAAAAAAAAATTTAAGTCTGATTTAATTTACAAATTAAATTGGTAACTGAATTAAATTATTTAAATTAATTTATGCATATAAGTAACAATAATTACTTATAGTGTATTCAAATCCAAGCCGAACTAAACAAAAACGCCCAGACGCTTGATAACTCGTAACTTCGGAATCTGTTGTAAATTATTATTAAAGGTACCAGGGGAGGACGCATGTGAAATTTATGCGAAATTTTCAGTAAATTGCGAAACTTACAATGAAATTTCTGAAAGTTTCACAGGCAATGTTGAAATTTTCGAATTGAAAATTTCATTTGAAATTTTTAAAAATTTCACTTTTCCAACTAAATGAAATATTTCAAGTTTGAAACTTTCAAAGTTGAAATTTTCATTTGAAAATTTCAACTGTCCCAACCCTAATTGCAGGTGAATTTAAAAGTTCAGTACAAACTTGCATATAAACTTTTCCAATAGGTACCTATTGGCGTTGAGAAAGTATTTAATACTTTTTTATTTTGACAAACTTTCAACTAACTCAAAAGTAACTTCAGCCCGTGACTAAAAGCTCATTCTCATCCACTTAATAAACTTAACTTAACTTAAGAAACCTACGTCTGTTAAGTTGTCTGTTTACATTAACTTAATACTCGCAAAGAACGTAATATACAAGCACGCGCAATGTATACATCGATGTAGACTGGGTTGCCTATCTATAAAAGTGAAACAACAAGATAGCGCTATATCGTTACGCTTATTAAGTGGATGTGAATAGGGTTTGGAAAATTTCACTTTTTGCTTGTACTTGAAATTTCACTTGAAATTTTCATGACATTTATGAAATTTATTAAAATTTCCTAAATTTCTGAAATTTCATGAAATTTATGAAATTTATTGAAACTTTCAAATAAATTTCAATCACTTTAAGTATAACATATTAATATTGAAATAAGCCCACTCGAGGACCATGGCAAATTGCCTCTCTTACCTCCCACACCTCTGTGGGCCCCTGCACCAATAATATAAATAGAAAATACCTATGTTTACCACAAATTTCTTGAGATTTCCTTTTAAAATATTTTTAAAATTACTAAAACTAAAAGAGATATAGCACTTTTTGGTAAGCTAATGAGATTGTGCCACTTTCATTGTTTTATATTTATATATATATAAATATAAAACAATGAAAGTGGCACAATCTCATTAGCTTACCAAAAAGTGCTATATCTCTTTTAGTTTTAGTAATTTTAAAAATATTTTAAAAGGAAATCTCAAGAAATTTGTGGTAAACATAGGTATTTTCTATTTATATTATTGGTGCAGGGGCCCACAGAGGTGTGGGAGGTAAGAGAGGCAATTTGCCATGGTCCTCGAGTGGGCTTATTTCAATATTAATATGTTATACTTAAAGTGATTGAAATTTATTTGAAAGTTTCAATAAATTTCAATAAATATATATATATATTTATTATTTTTATATATTTTACTGAAATTAAAGAAACTTCATCAAAATTTTATGAGCCAAAGGCATTTTTTATCCGTTTTCCGATGCAATTATAGCAAAAGTAAAAGGTTAAATTAATCATGACTTTTAAAAAAAAATTTTAAGTCTGATTTAATTTACAAATTAAATTGGTAACTGAATTAAATTATTTAAATTAATTTATGCATATAAGTAACAATAATTACTTATAGTGTATTCAAATCCAAGCCGAACTAAACAAAAACGCCCAGACGCTTGATAACTCGTAACTTATTGGTCGATTCGGAATCTGTTGTAAATTATTATTAAAGGTCCCAGGGGAGGCCGCATGTGAAATTTATGCGAAATTTTCAGTAAATTGCGAAACTTTCAATAAAATTTCTGACACTTTCACAGGCAATGTTGAAAATTTCAACTGTCCCAACCCTAGATGTGAATGAGCTTTTAAAAACCTGTTGCTAACTTCAGCCCTTGGGCGTTTTAAAGGTGCGAGTAGAACAAGTATAAGTATATAACGATTACCTGTCCAATATTCAGTTCTTGCGGAAACTGGTTCAGCACGGGTCCATAGCTATTCTTATCCTCCTCTATAACCGACACAATAAGAGCGATAAGTTTGTGCCAAAAGTCCACGCTGTCCAGTCGAGGCCCGTGATCCTCGGGATCCCTCTTGGGCTCGTTCGGGTCGCTCTGGAACTCCCTGTTGTACAATTCGTACGTGTTCTCGAACAAAAATTGATATGTCGATCTCAGGCAGGCCTTGACGCAGTCTTTAACGACGGTGCTAGCTCGCGGAGGACTCGATAGTTCTTGCACCTTCATGCGGAAGAAGGTGATGCTGGTGAGTAGGTCCACGGTGGACTTCAAGTCCATCAGTTTGTCGGAGCTTGATGCAGGGAAGTTGTTTCTGTACATGGACAAGTCGATACGCAGCGAGTTGTGCAGTTGATCCAGGAGTTTCACAAATTTTTCTTTCTATAATCATAAAACAGTTTTCGTTATAAGAAAAAAAGATAGAAAAATTAGCCTTCAAAAATATATGACATTTATTTATACAAAAATACGATACAAAAAAATAATTTAAAAAGCATTTAACTATTGCTACAATAACGTACGGTTAGTATACTATATTACTTATAATATTAAATATGTTTTTATTTTACATTTAAGCTTGCAGTTTGTTTGGCTTCTTATCATTTTGGTTTCTTTTACCGGTCGCAATATAAGCTTATTAGTGTCCATGTCCTCATACTACCTCATATTTATTTAAACCTGTAGTTAGTTTTGCATATTCTTATTTTATTCTCAATTAACTATCTAACTCATCTAACATTGTTCGTCAATTTATCAATTATGGCGAATGCGCCGGGATTTAAAACAAAATTTGTACTATGCTCCCACCACGTGACCACGTACGGAACGCAGTCTTTTGAAAATTTGGCATTGAAGGCTTTTTAGGTTACGTATCTGTCAAAGTATAGTCAATGAAAGAAATAATATTTATAGCGTTACCGCTTATGTTTAAGCGTTAAAAGTTAATAAATCTTTATAGTACCACAATAACAATGGTTGGTTTAAGAATTTAGGAATATAAATACTGCATTTAATGAAATTTTAAAGTGTAAGCTGCCAAATAAGTGATATTTTTGTGAATTGGGTCAACATTTCTCCATAAAATAGTTTTAACTAAACCGCATTTATTAAAAAAAATCTAACTTCTCCATTATGGAATAACAATATCTGTATCAAAGGTATGTTAATGTATTAGAACAAAAATATCATCTAATTTTATATTTTAAGGTTAGAAAAATATATTTTGAAAAGTGTGTTAATATTAACACACATATGGTTCAAATTAAATTAAAGCTTTTATACTTCTAACGACAAAACTTGTGCATACCTACTTTAAGTTAGATTATAAGAAAACGAATAATTTTTAGAGAAACTTGCAATGTGAAAATATTTAATACTCCCATGACATGTGCTTTATTAAAATTTTTAAAGTTATAATGATTTTTCGATGTATGTAGATCAAATTCAGTCCAAGCTTTATAACTATTTTTATTGACAAAACTTTATGTAAGTACACTTTAAGGTGGATTAGAAAAACTACCACATTTTTAAATACCATATTATACAGTCTTTCAAATAATCCAAAATACTTATTTATTTTGGTCATAATAAATTTGTCTAACCTTAAAATTACAAAATTAGATGATATTTTTGTTATAATATATATATTAACCTTCCTTTAATACAGATATACTTATTTCATAATAGAAAAGCTAGATTTGTTTAAATAAATGCTGTTTAGTTAAAATTATTTTATAGAGAAAACCAGATATTGGGACCAAATGCACAAAAATATTACTTATTTGGCACCATACACTTTAGGATTTTATTAAATGCAGTATTTATATTCCTAAATTCTTAAACCAACCATTGTTATTGTAATGTTATAAAGATTTATACATTTTTAATGCCTAAACATAATATTTCCTTCGTTGACTATATTTTGACAGATACATAACGTGAAAAGCCTTAAATGCCAAATTTTCAAAAGACTGCGTTCCGTACGTAGTCACGTGGTGGGACTTTGAGGTGTGGAGCATAGTACCTTAAGTATATACTTACTATATAGTAGTCGCGGCTAATGTTTCAAATTGCGTCATCAATGTCGAATGTCAAAAACCGCTTTCTCGACATACGGTTAAGCTACCTTGGATTATATACGTAAAAGAAAACAACAATAATACAACATAACAATAAATACAATAACAATTATTGTAATGTCTGTGCTTGGTTCAGAATTTGATGACGCAATTTGAAACATTCGCCGCGACAACTATAATAAAGTACATTTTTTGGAGATTTTAGACTCTTTCCCAAGGACACTCGTCGCACAATTTTTTTTAATTTACCTATCATTTTTTATAAAATTTATTTATTTTATAAAGCTTTTATGATCGGTACTGTACTAACGTACATGTTCTAGTTTCTTCGCAAATTATATACAGGTCACTAACGCTTTGACCCATTATAAGTTTTTAAGTTGATAACTAATATTCTGCAGTGATAAGCTAAACCACCGTTTATACAGGGTGTCCCAGAACTCGCGCCACAGAGAAAAAGGGAACGTACCGAAAGTAATTTGAAACACATATTTAAAAATTCAAATTGTCCAACGCAAAGTATAAGGGAGATAAGAATAAAAAACGATAGCCAATCCCAATAGATCACCACAGGGAATTCTTTAAATTGCTAGGATACTTAGGTTGCATTGTTGATAATAAAAAATGTGTAAAATATTTGGTCCACTGGAATTTAATTCATTGTAAAACTGCTGTCAATCTTTACTCCTGTCATTAATATTATATTAGGTTATAAATTAAGTTATTATTGACAATGCTGTCAATCTTTACTTTTGTCAATAAATTAAGTTATTATACAATAAATTAAGTTATTATACAATAAATTAAGTTATTATACAAAATGTTTTCCTTGATGATTATACCGAAATGATAACTATTTATGGGGAGCGTGGGCAAAAAAAAGGTAAATAAAGTACAACTGGTTTGATTTTTTACTTTAAAACATTGGCGTTCTGAAGTATCAGTCATAGATTAATAACCTCATTTTTTGAAAGCTTTTGACAACTTAGTAAATACAGTTGGCCAAAAGATTTTTTAAATGTTTTTAATACAACAATGTTCTATCGTCTCCTAGCAATTTTTAAAGCTCCTACGTTTAACCTAGGCGAGATCTCTCGGTATTGGCTGCCGCTTTTTTGCTCTCATTCGATTACACTATTACCTAGAAATTTTTAATTTTTAAATTTGGCATCTCCATTGCTATCGGCACGCCCCCTTTTTCTCTGTGGCGCGAGTTCTGGGACACCCTGTATATAATAATAATAATAATAATGTTTATTTGATCAAGTTACATACGAGCCCTAACCACATAATGTTCGGACACTTCATAATTTATACAGAAATTTTTTTCGTGAATACTATCTCAAAATTATTAGAAGTTATGAAAAATTCAGCTTATTTTGGCATATACCCCTCGAAGCGATTTTTATTTTTAAAAAGTTTACCTTTTATTTTTAGCTTTTAAAAAAAGGCTAACTTTTTAACTTTTTTTTGCATGAGTAAAAAAAGTTATAAATGGGCCCATTAAAAAGAACATAAAATAATAATAATAATAATAATAATCTTTATTTTCCTTTGATTAATTACATTAATATAGGAATCGTCGGTTGTAAAAATATATAAATTAGATGTATAAATATATAAACATACACAAAAATATCAACGAACTAACTTTAGATTAACAAACAGAAAATTAACTTAACCAAAACTCACTTAAATTGTAAAACTCACTTTTAATTAGATATGCTTTTAATCTTGTTTTAAATGAGTTAATATTGTTTAAGTTTCTTATTTCCTGAGGAAAATGGTTGAATGCACGGAGACCTAAAGAATTGGGTGCATTTATACTTATATTTAATCTAGAAAATGGAATTTTAAAGTCGTTACATTTTCTGGTTTTATAATTATGTACAAGGTTATTTTTTAGAAATTTATTTTTGTTAGTAAATATAAATTTGCCCAATTCGTATAATAAAATTCCCGTTAAGGTTAATATCTTTCTTTCCCTGAAGAGAGTTCTACAACTGGTAGAAGGCGGTATACCCAGTAGGCAACGTAGAACTCTTTTTTGTGCTATAAAAACACATTTTGCAGATGTAGATGGTCCCCAAAAGATTATACCATAGTGTAGTCTAGATGCAATATATGCATTATATACTTTTGTCATATTTTGTTGGGATATAGCACTTCGCAAATTTCTTAATAGGTAGCAAAGGCTATTTAATTTTCTGATCAAATTTATACAATGAATATTCCACTTTAGGTAATTATCTAATGTTAGACCCAGAAATTTGGTATCAGAAGATTCTACAATAGACTGATTATCAATTTTTAAATCCAATATACCTATTGAATTTTGCGGGGTTTGAAATCTGAGGTACGTTGTTTTATCTATATTAAAATACAAAAAATTGCTTCCAAACCAAGTTTTTAAAGCATACAACACATTATTACATTTGTTTTCCAAAGTTAAGTTACATTTATCAGAAATAATAAAAGAAGAATCGTCAGCAAATAAAGTACCCGTGCATTCTTCATTTTTAAAAATCTTAAATATGTCATTAATATATGTTATAAATAAAATAGGTCCTAATACTGACCCTTGAGGTACCCCTATATTTATGGTTGCCAGATCTGAAACGTTACTATTTTCTGAATAACTGGAGTGTTGCTTTACTGCAACAAACTGCCTTCTATTTTTTAAAAAACAGGCTAGCCAGTCTATAGCAGGACCTCTTACACCATAAGCACACAATTTTCTTAACAATACATCATGGTTTACACAGTCGAATGCCCGACTAAGGTCACAAAAAATTCCCGTCGGACATTCTCCGTTTTCCATGTAACACGTAATTTTTTTATAAAAGTTCTGAACTGCTGTTATAGTAGAACAATTTTTGCGAAAGCCAAATTTGTTAGAAATAATAATATTGTTCACCGAAAAAAAATTGTCCAATCTATCCAAAAAACAATATTCAAAGATCTTTGAAAAAACAGAAATCAATGCCACAGGACGGTAATTCTCAATTGAGAAATTGTCGCCCTTCTTAAAGATTGGCAGTATCTTGTTCACCTTAAGAGTATCTGGAAACTGACCTGTCTCAAAAGAAAGATTGACAAGGTGCGATAGGACAGAAGCTATAGGAATTATTACTTTTTTTACAATATTTCCTGATATGTCATCAAAACCCGAGGACTTCTTGTTTTTAATTTTTGTCTTAACTATATTTATAAGTTCTGATTCTACAACTGGTGTCAAAAACATACTATTTATAATTGGTTCCGGAATGCTTGGTGGAACCCTGTTTTGAATATTTGAAATTA